AAGATATGAGTGAACGAATTATGAACTATGAACATTTTCTATTCAACACTTGATTTTCCGACGAATGTTCCTTTTTCTTAAATGGCATAGTAAATCGTCATAACTGCCGATAAGGGTCCGATTATAATCCCAGAATTTATCATGAGGTTCATACACAGCAGCCACAAAAATTAAATGTTTGGGATGGTATTTTTGGCGATCATTTAGTTGGTCCTTTTTTCTTACCTGGAAATTTGACGGGTGAAATGTATTTGGAATTACTGGAAGACGCCATAGATCCTGCATTAACAGCCATCATTGAAAATCAGAATGATTGGTAGAAGAGGTGCCATTGAATGGCCCCCAAGATCGCCAGATTTATCACCTTTGGATTTCTTTATGTGGGGTCATTTAAAAAGCAAAGTCTATGCTACTCAGCCAGCATAATTAGATGACCTGCGACAAAGAATTGTGAATGAGTGCCTTCAAATTACTCCTCAAATATTGCAAAATGTGCGGCAACGTTTTGAGCAAAATCTTTATTATTGCATGGAGAGTCATGGTGGCCATTTTCAACATTTACTTGCCTAACGGGTCAGTTCATTCTTCATTTTTAAATTACTTTGCTGCCCAATGTATTGATCTCCACTAATGATGATGTATTAGTTTTATTTAAGCTTCAAACCAATAAATCTTCAAAACTACTGAACTGAAGTACATTAATTTTATATCATTATAAATGGAATTGAAAGACCTTTAAAACAAGGTATCACTCTTCCCCCCCTTTCCATTTAAGATTTTGGGGGTGGTGTGACTCCCGCTTAGGGGGTTGCACGTGCTAACGTGATTTTTTGCCAAACTTGTGTTCCCCTCGAAATCAAAATCGACGGTCCGAGCGTTTTTCAAAAAAAAATGAGCTGCCAGTAAATGCGTCTGTTTCGATGCGCCACCCTGTATACACGGAAACGATATATACAGTAAAAATGCTATTTTTTATAAAAAAAACCTTACATGATTCTCGTTGCCCAAATTTAAATGTGATGCGGATAATTTTTTTCTGGTCTCTAGATAGATCAGGGAAAAGACTAGAACTTGACCATAGACGTATGTCATACCTTAGACGACTATCAATCTGGGCATGGTAAAAACTGATTATTTGCTGGTCGTTTAAAATATCTCTGAGTGTTCTCATAAAAAGGTAGATGAGCTCATTTTTTTATTAAATTAGTTCAATGAACCTTCCAGTTAAGGTGGTGATCTAATAATAAACCTAGGAATTTTGCACTTCCTGAATCATTTTCCTATCGTAGCTAACAGTTAAGTCGAAACGTTGGCTCTGCAATGAAACTTAACTATACTAAGTGACATATAAATCCGAACACCCAGTTTAAATGGTTTTATTTTAATAAAATTTTGTATAAGTACTTAATGAAGCATAATAAGTAAATGATAAAAATTTCAAAATGATTGCACTGCTTTAATGCCCTTTGACCTTTAATAATGTGTGGATGCACCCTGATGTGCTACGCATTCTCCAACGCGCCTAGGCATGCTTCTGATCTGGTCAATGTCTTCCTGTGGTATCTCATTCCAGGCAACCACCAACTCCTCTCGAAGTGCTTCTAGAGTCTGAGGAGGACGTTGCAAATTGAGCAATCTCCTACCCATCATATCACACACGTGCTCAATTGGGGATAAGTTGGGAGATCTTGGTGGCCATGGTAACAATGTGACATCATTATGTTGAAAGAAGTCTATTGTGACTCCTGCAACATGTGGTCGGGCATTATCTTGTTGGAAAGTTGGATCTGCCAGGGTGTCAAGATAGGGTAAAAGATGGGGTTCTAGAACTTCGTGGATATAACGCTGCGCGTTCATGTTACCTCTGATGAAGATTAAAGGTGACCTGGAACCATAATCTATAGCACCCCAAACCATAACTCCAACAGTGTGATGAACATGTCTTTCAACAAAAAACTGTGGATTCCTTCTTTGATCACGTCGCCTTCTAACCCTGGCACGACCATCGTGCATGCCTAAACAAAATCGAGACTACTGTTCCATTCCTGATCCCAGAGTGACCGTTGTCTGCACCACTCAAGGCGATTTCGTCGGTGTTCTCGGGTTAAAGGGAGGACCCAGTGTGGCCGGTATGAAAACAAGCCAAAACTTCTCATTCATCGGTAAACACTTCGCATGCCAATAGGTCTTCCGTGTTCTGCAAACCATTAATTTGCAATGGACCTGGTAGTGGAGAAACGGTCTCTTAAGGCCAATAATCTTAGGCGGCGATCTTCACGGTCTGTTGTTCTACGGCGGCATCCAGTGCCCCTTGCTCTTTGCGTACGGCCTTCTCGAAGCCATGCCTGACAACACCTAACCACAGTGTCTACAACGGCCCCTATCAAACTCACTAAGTTGAGGAAATCGTACAGATCTCCGTACTCTAGGCATCCCCGATCGTAAAGGATGTCAAAAACCAAAATCCGCCAACGTTGATTCTTTACTGCGGCTGAAATATTCATTTTTAGAGCGTTAGTGAATTAAAAAAAAGCAGTATAAAAACCGGAATGTCCAACTGATAGGGCTGAACATTTTTTCACTTGTTGTTTACAGTAAGATAAATACATTCATCAACTTTTATTAAAATAAAACCATTTAAACTGGGTGTTCGGATTTATATGTCACTTAGTATATATCTGTATTGTTATAGTTGAAAAACAGGTCATGGGAGTGAAAAAGCTACTTATCAGGTTGAAAGTTTCCGATAATATATTTGTACTTGTAGGCGGTACAACCAAAGGGATATTATTTCATATGCAACGTGTCGGTCATTTTGAACCTGTTTATAAAAATTATTCACACGTAAAATAAAAAGTGTTGGTTCAGGTACCGACCCCTGAGGAACGTCTACTGACAGAGTGGAAGTAGCAGATCTACTGAGGCTAGTGTCAAGTTCGTCTAGCTACTTTAATAAAAAGCTGATTTTATAGAAGCAGACCACATTGGCTTATTCCCTTTTAACTATTTGCCGCAGAAAGATAATGACTATGGAGTTATTTTAAATGTGAAATGATACTGATTGCTGACATGTGGATGGCGTCTGTAGCGCACAGAGCATGCGGCAATAATATTTTGAACCGAATTTTTTACTATCATTTCATATACTTCGAGAAGCATCGAGCTGTTGAAAAAATGGAACAGTCCTTTTTTGTAGCAAATTTTATTCTTTATAATAAGTAACAAGAGCCTCTACTGCAATCTTAACCGTTATGAGAGAAAATGTAATTACTTGTCGCTTTGTCGTTCAATATCTTGTAAGCTGATAACCGTACGTTAAACTTGTAGATTTAAAATGATATAGCATAAAGTTCTATACAATAATGGTCCACCCGAATGTCGGGTCTAGCCCTACAGTGCTGCTGATTTGGGTTTACCATGACAACGATATCGTTTAAAAAGTATTTTGTTGCACTTATTGCAAATCCTGTCTTCCAAGTCTTCCCTGACTTACAATGCGTCTGTGTTGCCAGACCCCTTAGCGTCCTGGAAACAAACAATCAGCGGTATCGGCGGCCCTGATATTGAGCCACAGTGTCCTTGTATGCGATATCCAAACATGCTGTTCATACTTGAACCACAATGAAGGCCCCTAGATGCCGCGAGACAATAAAGGATACAGGGTGAAGCGGTGACGTCACACAGTGAGGAAACAAGTGTACTTGTAACGTGCACACATTCTGGACTCGCCTCAGAGATCCGCCGGGTGGTACCTCCACGTTCGTAGATTTGAGACCAGTTACGGATAATCACAACAACCATAGCTAAGAGAAAAATCGTCTTGGGACGGGCTTCGAAGCTCACGGCAACACGTAGCGTCTACCACTATTCTACCGCGCTGCCTGGTGTCCATAGCACCCACTAGCCATAGCGTCGTCAACTCCGCGTTACGCATTAACTTCATATTCAGCTTTTATATAACATACCACTCAGTCCCGATTTTACCATGGACCCGCGAGAATCAAAATTTGCGCCTAGGGAACACACTCAATCAACCAGAAAACCTAATGGGTCTGATGAATATGGTTGATTTCTTTTCTCTCTCTCTCTCTCAAACTAGCTAAAAACTATACGATTTGTGTAAGCTGGGTCACTAATTCCCCTATTAAGATAAGAAATACTTCGTAAACCACTTGTTAAGCTACAAAAACCTATTTTTTCATTTGATCTCGGGCATACAATTTGCAACTGGGGCAGAAATTCAACCGATCTGATGGCGTTTTCGGAAGAAATGTCTCTCAAAGTAGAGAGAAATTATACTAACTTGATGTGTGCGATGTATGACACAAAAGTACTATTTACGACATTGTAGATAATAGTTTTTCGTTTTTGTGAAACATTTCACGTTCTTTTGGCAAAACCAGTGCATACATTCTTGTTCTCTTGGTTCGTCCTATGAAGTAATTTTGCACTCAATGCACGATTTATTTATCTATTTAGTTCAATGAAACGATATAATTTTTATTGACAGATAGAACGAGTCACGTGTAACAACTCATGTTCGATGTTGTTTTGGAGCAAATTCTGAGCAGATCTAGGGTAGTGAATACGGAACTTAAAATCGAGTCTAATAAAAAAAACGTTATAAGTCACATCAGTGCCTTGATGACAACTTAAATTGTTAATGAACAAGAATAACAATCATCTTCGGTTAATCACATAACCGGTTGTTTTTGCCAGTTGCTAGTTGGAGAAATACTTTACAAGATGTCGACTATATTCATATCTTCAAAATCACCTTGTTGTTGGTCCAATTGGTGCCCTAGGTGCAAAGTTTGTGCTCTCTATAGTAAACAAATTTCTCCATATTTCATTCACTAAGTGTGCGACGCATGTGGCAGCATCCTGCTTCATCAATTTTCCTATGGATTCTCATGTAACCTTGAGAAGATAGAAGTTAATATCAATGGAAGGTTTTCGTCCTGTATATCACAAAATATGCGCAAACACGACCACGTGTCAATTTTTCCACGACATAATTGACACTTCATTTCCATATTTAATATACCCACCTTACAAAAAATCAATTTACAGTCAATCCACTATGTCTCTTGAGGTAAATTACTCGTCTTCCTTAATAATACATTGTATAAATATGGCAGCAATATTAAACGACTTAATGGTATGTATAGTAATATCTAATAATACAGTGAGAAGTAGTTTTTTATTGAGGTCCGAAGCAATAGATGTAGAGCTGGCTATATTAAGAGCTTGTCAGTTTGCATTTCAAAGCTTATCTTTTTTTTTACAGATTAGATTTGAGAATCTGACACTTTTTCTGTCAATAAAAGGCAGCCGACATAGACTCCAGGCACAGTTCTTATCAAAAACAACCCGCACGGGTATTACGTTTCTTGAAAAGTGACGTTCTGTCGATTTTATTTACTGGTCTAACCAAAAAGTATGAGCTTTTGTGAGCTGCGGTCATCAAGGCTGCGTCTAGAGCTGTGACTGGAAGGAAACAATCCAGATAAGTTTAGGTTTTAGTATTCTTTTTAAATTAGTATATGACAATTTTCCTTGTTCTGTCGATTTTATTTACTGGTTTAACCAAAAAGTATGAGCTTTTGTGAGCTGCGGTCATCTCGGCTGCGTCTAGATCTGTGACTGGAAGGAAACAATCCAGATAAGTTTAGGTTTTAGTATTCTTTTTAAATTAGTATATGACAATTTTCCTTCTGGCGCTATAATATTTGTAAAACTTATCGCGTTCGTTTGTCATGGTAGTCGTCTAGCAGGATATCGCAATTTAGACGTTTCCTTGTGCTGCCATTTCAAATATCTTTTTCTAATTTACACTGCAGCAGTTTATCGTATTATAATCGAACATGTGGTTTAATATACTAAGTGACATATAAATCCGAACACCCAGTTTAAATGGTTTTATTTTAATAAATGTTGGTGAACGTATTTATCTTACTGTAAATAACAAGTGAAAAAAATTTCGGCCTTATCAGTTGAACATTCCGGTTTTTATACTGTTTTTTTTTAATTCACTAACGCTCTAAAAATGAATATTTCAGCCGCAGTAAAGAATCAACGTTGGCGGATTTTGGTTCTTGACATCCTTTACGATCGGTTACGATGCCTAGAGTACGGAGACCTGTACGATTTCGTCAACTTAGTGAGTTTGATAGGGGCCGTATAGTGGGACTTCGGGAAGCTGGACTTTCTTTTCGGGCAATTGAAATTAGAGTGCAAAGAAGTGTAGACACTGTGGTTAGGTGTTGTCAGGCATGGCTTCGAGAAGGCCGTACGCAAAGAGCAAGGGGCACTGGACGCCGCCGTAGAACAACAGACCGTGAAGATCGCCGCCTAAGATTATTGGCCTTAAGGGACCGTTTCTCCACTACCAGGTCCATTGCAAATGAATGGTTTGCAGAACACGGAAGACCTATTGGCATGCGAAGTGTTTACCGACGAATGAGAAGTTTTGGCTTGTTTTCATACCCGCCACACTGGATCCTCCCTTTAACTCGAGAACATCGACGTAATCGCCTTGAGTGGTGCAGACAACGGTCACTCTGGGATCAGGAATGGAACAGTATTGTCTTTAGTGACGAGTCTCGATTTTGTTTAGGCATGCACTATGGTCGTGCCAGGGCTAGAAAGGAGGAATCCACAGTTTTTTGTTGAAAGACATGTTCATCACACTGTTGGAGTTATAGTTTGGGGTGCTATAGCTTATGGTTCCAGGTCACCTTTAATCTTCATCAGAGGTAACATGAACGCGCAGCATTATATCCACGAAGTTCTAGAATCCCATCTTTTACCCTATCTTGACACCCTGGCAGATCCAACTTTCCAACAAGATAATGCCCTACCACATGTTGCAAGAGTCACAATAGACTTCTTCCAATATAATGATGTCACATTGTTACCATGGTCACCAAGATCTCCCGACTTATCCCCAATTGAGCACGTGTGGGATATGATGGGTAGGAGATTGCTCAATTTGCAACGTCCTCCTCAGACTCAAGAACCACTTCGAGAGGAGTTGGTGGTTTCCTGGAATGAGATACCACAGGAGGACATTGACCACCTGATCAGAAGCATGCCTAGGCGCGTTGGAGAATGTGTAGCACATCAGGGTGCATCCACACATTATTAAAGGTCAAAGGGCTTTAAAGCAGTGCAATCATTTTGAAATTTTTATCATTTACTTATTATGCTTCATTAAGTACTTATACACTTTTATTAAAATAAAACCATTTAAACTGGGTGATCGGATTTATATGTCACTTAGTATATATTGTGATTGAAATATCTTGAGTTTTTTTGTCTCTCTGTACAGTTAATTAGTTGAGGTCATTGCTACTAGATTATTATCTTTTGTTTGGGTGGTCAAGCAAAACAAGTTCTGACAAACATCATTTGTGACTTCATCCATCTCGGGTCACTGACGCTCTTAAACTCCCTACCCTCCGCTTTATTGACCTAGGGCCTAAATTTGCAAGCCATTAGTTTTGCTTTGACTCATCATTTGAGTTCATTTATAGTGTTGTATTAATTAAAAAAAAAGACGGAATACGCCACCTTTTCCTTTTATTTATAAAAAAGGCGTGGCAGCACGTGCCAAAAAAGTGTGTTATCGGAGAGTGCCACGTTTTACAACAACCAGCTGTATTGAGACATGGCAAAATGGACTTCAACAATGTATAATTAAGATTTTTTCTATAATTCGCGTTTAGGTAAAACGACCATTAGACTCCGCTGTATTTGGAATAGTAGCATATACTAAGTGACATATAAATCCGAACACCCAGTTTAAATGGTTTTATTTTAATAAAAGTTGGTGAATGTATTTATCTTACTGTAAATAACAAGTGAAAAAATGTTCAGCCTTATCAGTTGGACATTCCGGTTTTTATACTGCTTCCTTTTTAATTCACTAACGCTCTAAAAATGAATATTTCAGCCGCAGTAAAGAATCAACGATGGTGGATTTTGGTTCTTGACATCCTTTACGATCGCTTATGATGCCTAGAGTACGGAGACCTGTACGATTTCGTCAACTTAGTGAGTTTGATAGGGGCCGTATAGTGGGACTTCGGGAAGCTGGACTGTGGTTAGGTGTTGTCAGGCATGGCTTCGAGAAGGACGTACGCAAAGAGCAAGGGGCACTGTACGCCGCCGTAGAACAACAGACCGTGAAGATCGCCGCCTAAGGTTATTGGCCTTAAGGGACCGTTTCTCCACTACCAGGTCCATTGCAAATGAATGGTTTGCAGAACACGGAAGACCTATTGGCATGCGAAGTGTTTACTGACGAATGAGAAGTTTTGGCTTGTTTTCATACCGGCCACACTGGGTCCTCCCTTTAACTCGAGAACACCGACGTAATCGCCTTGAGTGGTGCAGACAACGGTCACTCTGGGATCAGGAATGGTACAGTATTGTCTTTAGTGACGAGTCTAGATTTTGTTTAGGCATGCACGATGGTCCTGCCAGGGTTAGAAGGCGACGTGGTGAAAGGAGGAATCCACAGTTTTTTGTTGAAAGACATGTTCATCACACTGTTGGAGTTATGGTTTGGGGTGCTATAGCTTATGGCTCCAGGTCACCTTTAATCTTCATCAGAGGTAACATGAACGCGCAGCGTTATATCCACGAGGTTCTAGAACCCCATCTTTTACCCTATCTTGACACCCTGGCAGATCCAACTTTCCAACAAGATAATGCCCGACCACATGTTGCAAGAGTCACAATAGACTTCTTTCAACATAGTGATGTCACATTGTTACCATGGCCACCAAGATCTCCCGACTTATCCCCAATTGAGCACGTGTGGGATATGATGGGTAGGAGATTGCTCAATTTGCAACGTCCTCCTCAGACTCTAGAAGCACTTCGAGAGGAGTTGGTGGTTGCCTGGAATGAGATACCACAGGAGGACATTGACCACCTGATCAGAAGCATGCCTAGGCGCGTTGGAGAATGCGTTGCACATCAGGGTGCATCCACACATTATTAAAGGTCAAAGGGCTTTAAATCAGTGCAATCATTTTGAAATTTTTATCATTTACTTATTATGCTTCATTAAGTACTTATACAAAATTTTATTAAAATAAAACCATTTAAACAGGGTGTTCGGATTTATATGTCACTTAGTATATTTATCAGACACTATGTTGAATAATGTGTCAAATTTGGCTGCAGCTGACTGTAACCTTGGCAGTCATGTGACATTTTACAAAACTTGTCAAAATACCTTGAAAACACATAAACCTCAAAATTTAGCGTAATTAAAACATGTTTTGCAAGTACTATTCGTCATTATTCGTCAGAGCGGTCCGATGGACATTCGCTCTTAGTTAAAAGTCTCGTCGGTCTGTTAGTCTGTCAGGTCTGGCTACCCAGATACCAAACATATTTGAGGGGAAAAGGGAAAGTAGGAAAGAAAGGAAGTAAGAAATAGAACAAACAAAAGAATTAAATCATTTGAAATGGCTTAGGCTTTATTGGTTTTTGGAGAATCGATAGTAAATTCGTTATCAGGATGCTTGAAACATACGAAATTCAAATTTAAAAGTAATGTCATGCTTCCAAAAAATCCATGTCTAATTCATTAAAAGTGATCTTAAAACATATAAGATTCAAATTTGAACGTAATCCAAACATTTTTTGCAAATGTCCCCCACAACGGATTCACCATTTAGATTTGTGACAAACAGATACGAGTATCGTATGCGTTATCAACGATCTCAAAAACAGATGAATTGAGTATTTTGGTAAGACATAGTGAAACGTTCTAGTTTTGCATCACAGCTACGATAGTGCCAGCAACCATGGAGCGACTGCACGGCATGGGTATCATGTAAAAAACCTACAAAACGTCAAAAAACAACCTATAAGATGTCATCTTGATAGTTTTTAGGGCGCAAACAGTCATTCCACGTTTGCTCATTAGGATCGTTGTGAACGTCCATCTAAAGAGGAATCACTTAAACTAAACGCATTATTGGTTGCATATGCATTGTGAGGCCAAATGGTCCTTGTCTGTAGTTTTTATCTCTACGAAAAACGTTGGTCGAATAGCAAGATCGCATCTGGATGATATTTGCTGTGTGAGAAAATTATTACTGAGGAGAATTACGGGACGCGCCCGCGTTGTGTGTAATT